ACAGTATTTTTACAGTCTTTATTTTACAGTTAAAATATATGTTTATCAAATAAAGTCTAATGTTACAACTAATCATGGATCCCTTTAAAGTAGAAGTGAGAAAAAGGTAAACTTGTAAAAACTGAAGCGGTAGCTAAAAGCTAACGCTAGCACAACAAAAAGTTAAAAACTCAAATTTAAAATTCATAAAAGTTCTTAAAAGTTCAAGATGTGAAAATTCTAAAAGTTGAAGAGTGTTTGAACAGAAAGTGCTGAGTCAGCGCTCAGAACCACGTGGGTCCGGTTCTGTGTCAGAGGGTCAGACACATGGTTCGGTTCTGGGTTCTAAAGAAGTCCTGCTGGACTGTCCCCGCAGCTCTGGGTTCTGGAGACGACAGCTGGTCCATGAAGGTCCAGTCGGAGGTCCGGGGGATGGACGGGTACCCGGTGGTCCTGCCCTGCACCTTCAGCCACCCGCAGCACTCGCAGCACTCGTCTCTGCAGGTGCTGTGGCGCCTGGGCCACGGCCAGGGGGCCACCGTCCTGTACCGCTGCACCAGCCGGCCCGGGGCCCCCACCTGCGAGCCGGGCCCCCAGCAGGACCAGCGGTACCGCCTGGAGGGCAACCCGCGGGAACACGACCTGTCGCTGCGCATCAACAGCGCCGCCCTGCAGGACAACGGGCGCTACTACTGCCGGGTGGAGGTCCAGGGCAAGGAGCACGTCAGCTTCGAGGACAAGATGGGGACCAGACTGAGGGTGGAGGGTACGGTCCAGAAGGCCCGGTTCTGTCAGAACCTTTAGTTTAACTGAAGCTGAAAAAGTTCTTCTCTTCCTGCAGCTCCTCCAAAGGTTCTGGTTCTGTCCGTGGAGGGCAGCAGGCAGTCCGGGTTCAGGGCTCTGTGCCGGGTCCAGGGCTCTCCACTGCCGGACGTCCAGTGGCTGGGCCCGGACGACCCGCTGGAGGGTTCTGCCTCGCTGGCCCAGGGCTCCCCGGGTCGGTACCAGACCGTCAGCCAGCTGATGGACGTGGAGCCGGGTCAGCAGTACACCTGCAGCGCCTCCAACCCGCTGGGCCAGGACCAGGCCTCCCTGTACGTCCTGCACCCCCGACCCGTCCCGCTGGGCCGCGGGGCCCCCGCCCCCCTGCTGCTCCTGCTGTCTGTGGCCCTGGGCCTCAAAGTGGTCCTGGTTCTGGGGATGGGGGCGTGGCTGATGCAGGGAGGGGTCCTGCAGGGAGCCCGCTGCTGCAGGAAGTGATGTCAGTTTGTAAACAACAAACAAACAAACAAACATTTAAATCAAACGTCTTTATTTTCTGCTGCAGGAAGAATCCAGACTCTTATCTACAAACAAAAACTGAACCACAGCCCGGTCCAGGTCCAGCAGCAGAACTCAGAGTTCAGGAGGCGAACCTGTGACCTTCAGACTGTGAGGCCACAGCTCCAACCGCTGCACCACCGAGTCAAACATCAACAAATGATTGATTCTAACATCTAACACTCCGGTTTCTCTTTACTTACTGATATTTTACTAACAAAACAAACTGAAGTTTTCTGTGTAAAAACTCTGAATAAAAACACTTGATTTATTTTATTCTTGTTTGATTTATTCACAAACTTTATTCATTGAAGCAGGAAACATAAAGTTTAATTCAGCTCAGATTTTCTTACATCTTCTCCTAAAATTCAACCAAAACAAAAAAATCAACAACAGAAAAATGAAAACAGATTAATGTTGACGTTAAATCTCTTCTAAAAAGATTTCAGGTCTAAAATAAAGTTCAAAAACTGAAATATTTCAAGAATAACTAATAATGATTCAATAAGATCTGAATTTTCTGTTTAAAATAAGTTTAATTCATTTAAAAAAATTATTGTTGAAATATTTCATGAGTTTAAACTGTTAAAATGTATAAATC